GCTGTGAATTTCCACAGTAACTTGTGGATGATGTTTTGTGAACATGTATGAAAGATTTGGAATAATGGATATCATCCTATGAGAGCTGTTGAGGCTTGCAGGGGTTGCTTTATGTTCTGACGTTATCAGATGTGATGCTCAGGAGGCAAATGTTTTTTGTATTTTTTTTTAACCCAGAAGCAAACTTCAATTAAAGAGCTTGGAAGCCAGGAAAACATCAGGGAACATTTCATATATGCTTGCTTGGTATTTCTTCTCTCCTAGGCATCTGCCTGTCATCTTTTTGGGGAACAGGATAGTGGTCTCATAGCTTTTCATCTGAGCTAGTATGACCATTTATAGGCTTTGGAAGACTATTAATTTTATATAAAATGGAAATAGTCAGTTGCAGCAAGTTGCTTGTCCCTAGAGCATCCAGTCTTGGAGCCTAGCTTCCTGCTCTACAAGCAGCTGCATTATCATTCCTATTAATAATGGCAAATAATACATTAATAAATAACAATTCAAACAGAATAATACATAGGTAATATTTGGGTGGGTTTTTTGTTTGTTTGTTTTGTTTTGTTTTGTTTTCCCAAGAACTCAGAATAGCACCTTTCTGTTATAAACTTTTAAATTTCTAATGGTGTTTCCAACATTTTTTTGTTTTTGATCTTGTGCTTATGTTGACATCTGGCATGGGCAATTCTTCGTAGTAGTTTGTTCCCAGGTACTGCTCTGTCACTACTGGGTGAGTACACTCACTCTTAGCGCTCCGTTCCACTAAATATCTCAGGGGCTTATTGTCTTTACTTGATTCCTGATCAATCCCGCTTTCTCTCTGTTAATATCTGATCCTTCTTAAGAAAGGTAATATTTATCAGTATGCCAAATTCATCTAGTACAGCTTTCCCCTTTCACTCCTGCCCAGAAGTTGTTCTCAGTCAGATGAAAGATTGTAGTGTGTGTGCAAAGAATAATGCTTTTTTTTTTTTTTTTTTTTCCTCTGTCTGAATCCAAAATGTGACAAAAGTGTCCTAAGCAATCAGATTATTTAGTAAGTGTGTCTGCAGCACCACAAGAGATTGAAACTACTAAAACATCTGTTTCCTGACAGGGTAGGTTCATTATTTCTGAAGTAAACTTCCAGAAAATGGCTTTGTGTCCTTAACAGTAAGAATTCAACAGGCTGGAGATCAGGCTGACTGCTAAGTGAAAAAGTTAATATTTTTTGTGAAGGCACAATGCAGCCACCTGTGTACTATTAAAGTGTGGAAATTAGTCATTTGTCTGGTATAGCTTTTGGTCTGAAAAATTCTGGAGGTAATAAAACAATCCTCATTTTTGTGGATTTTTAAGTCATCTTCCCTTCTCTCTCCGCCCGCAAATGCCATGCACATGCCTCTTAACCATGCTGGTTTTGTACTCTTGGCTGAACTTGCTTATATCAACTTGTAGAGATTTTTTTGTTTTTATTTCTCCTACTTCAAAGATTAATTTCTGAGGGAGGAAGTCAGTTATACTTTGTGCTTCCTTAGCTATGGTTCTATACATTCAAGTTAGAGACCTAAACCTGGTATTGGCTTTAATTCTTCATTTCTAGAATGAAGGAACATAAAATGGCCCATTTTTGTAGATCCATTTCTTCTTCTCCAAACCTGGAAAAAAGCAAGCTATAATTAAAACAAAGCAGTTGGATTTTACATCAGTGTGCAATCCTTTCGCTTGAAGAGAAGCCCTTTTCAAAATTCTGGCTGAGTGGGCTACAACTGAGTAGATTTGTTGGTATCCAGACTGAGGATTAAAATGAAGCCTGCTTCTTGGAAATGTGCTAGTAGTTGCAGAGAGATCATGCCTTTTTTACTGTCTGTGAAGTGCTTCTCTCTTTCTCCCACTTGTAGAGAGGAAAAGAACCTTAAAACGAGTGTTAAGAGAGCTAGGAAACTGAAGACAACTGGTGCCCCTTCAGGTTTGCTAGCTGTTGAAGTGTGTGTCACATTTTCATGCTTTTATTTACTGCCTCATATCGTATCTGCTTTAAGTGGTGGAATGATTTGATTCACAAGAGTTTAAAGTCACAACCAGGATCATCAGCTGTTGAGATGAACAGGGTATTTCATGCCACACAACTGTTGTTATGGCTCTCTTTAGGTCAGTGGTATAGCATGGTTGGCATTGAACCTGCCACACCTTCATTTTGCTGCCTTTTTTCCAGTATTGTTTGTAGGGCTTTTGCTGTTGTTTTCCTCCACTTCATGTTAAAGGAGGGTGCTGAAATGTCTGCAGTTCCACAAACCCCATGGCTAAACCACTCCTCTAGATCTCTCATAGTTCAACACTGGCTAGTCTATTGAAAAACAGTCTTCAGGATAATCAGGGAAAAAGTTTCTGAATCTGCTCTGACCTCACCACTAATATTACGTATTGTAAATGTCCTTGTTGCTTAGGACTGTGTTTTCTTTCTCTATTGATGGTGGGGCTTTTTAAAGGTCAACTTAACCTGGAGCCTTGAAGCAGCTTCATGATGAGTATACCTTCTGCATTTACAGAACCCTGTTGTAATGCTGTACTGACAGTTGCTGTGGAAGCTCGGAGAGAGCCGAGTGCCACTGCAGCAAGGGGATGGCCTTGGTAGACATTTCCAGTGAGGCAAGGGCCTGGTGTTGAACTTGGCCCTGGGGAGTTTGAAGCAGAGAGATCTCTTGTGCCATGAGTGTTGTTCTCGGGTCCTTTGCAGTTAGATGCAGATCTCATGGGTAATAACCACAGTGTGTTTTACCTAGTAAATGAAATAACAACTAAGATGATGTGCAACAACACTATGGAGAGCTTGTTATACAGAACTCCCTCTCTCCTGGGGAGGTGGCATACGCGCTTCAGCTGGAGGGTGAGGTACTTGGCTGAACACTTCTTCACAGCAGGGTGGCGTCAAGCGTTTAAGAACACGGAGAATTATGTGTAATGAAAAATACTTACTCATGTGGTGGTGGTGGTTGTAATGCCATGGAGGACTTCTCTTTAGAAGCAAAGTATCCAAAAGCAGTATTTTCAGGCATTTGCAGGCGTTCTATTTTCATGAATTGCAAGGGGCCATGGAGAATAGATGGACGGCTGAGGCCCTCCAGTGCTGCCAGAGCACACTGCACTCCTCGGGCACGATGGCCACAAAATTGCACTCTAAATTTACTTTCATTTTTTAATACAAATAAAGACTTTTTAAGCTAAAATACCTCACGATGTACTAATTGTTCACATGAAACTGATTCCTTGCTGAAAACAAGAATTCTCCATAATTTATTTTCATGTCTTGTTTTGCAAAGCTGTACAAAATGTGAGAAGAATCTGTTTGCAACCATTATTGTTAATATATGCATTGCAGGCAAAACACTCTACAGGGAGGCTAAAGAATTGTAAGGTAAATTTTTTGTCGCAGTTAGATTTCTGCTCAAGAATGACTGGGATGAAACACTACACAGCTAGTGGTGTCTGATGCTGTGGTGTATTATATAACTTGGAGGGGGGAAGAATGGGGAAGAAAAAAGTGCCAGTGAGGGAGGAGTGAGATAGTTGTGGGGTTTTGTTTTGTTTTTGTGGTTATTAGCCATGTGGTTTTGGTTGAATTGCTAAGACCTTGAGAATCACTTCCAAATGCTATGATCTAAGTTACAGCAGTGTGGACATATGTTAGAATAGAGATTCCCTTTGTGCTTAAAATTTCATTTAAAAGTGTATTTTCACAACTAGTGTAAAGTAGTACAGAGCTCTCCTAGTAAAAAGGTTAGAGTCTAGAGAATAGCCACATGTAATGGGACTTAATGGTGACCTTGGACTATTATGGAAACAGCTCTTTTCAGTATTTCTGTGTTGCCCTGCAATTGTGGCTTTTGTCGAAATCTAGCTGTTTACACTTGTGACAAAGTTTTGGCATTCCATCAGCTATGAATAGCAGCTAATAAAGCTTTAATTAATTAATTTTAGCCTTTGGTCAGCAAGTTGACTTGTCACTCTCGTTGGTCTGTAATGCTCCACCTCATTTTGCTGCTGCACAAACTTTTAATAAGCAAGAGAAGGTGGTAAGCCTTGTCTGGAATAATATTGTATGTTAATCTTTAACAATTGCATTTTAAAATGGGGTTGTAAAGATATGCCTTTATTAGTAGATATGTTTTGGTTTTTGGATCTTTTGTAAACCAGTGTCTTCAACAATAAAGTTGCCAAACAGACCTGAAATGTCCTCTGAGGGGGGAGCGGGTGGGAAATGGAGGGTAAAAAGTTAAAAGAAATCTCTGTGGTGGATATTAGATCTGTGCCTATTGTTCTGACTGGGGGTACACTTTGGAAGCCAAACACTGGTGATCTCTGTACAAATTTCTCCTTACTTGATCACAGGAATAACTTTTGTCAAAATACATAATTATGTCAAAATGGTTTGGATGGTAAACTTAATAGTTTATTTTCAAAGACTGTAAGGTTGATGCTTCCAAGGCTGTAAACCCAAATGTGCTGAAAACTAAGTTTTCTGCCCTTTCTGTTGTTTCTTCGTTTAGATGTTGAAATGACCAAAGACTGTAGGTGTGATCTAGTGCCTCCACACTATCTTCTAGATAAGCCCCAGTTAACATCTGAGTTTCAAAAGCTTTTGTTCAGTTTATCTTTTCTGTGAACATCAGTAGCAGACTTTGGAAAAGCAAGCAAAATTAAAGCGGAGTTGAGATGTATTTTTTTTTTTCCCCAATTAGTTAACATGTACCTCACAGTTTCTATTGCAGAGAATATTTTATGCTTTGCCACAATTTTTTGCTGTTTTTAAGGATAGTTCAGTGTGAAGAAACCTATTTGGGGGATATTGAGGAGTTGTGTATGTCACTGAATGTATCCTACCATATTCAATATTGATCCCTTGAACTGGTCTGCAGTTGTAAATGTCTCACTTGTGTTTAGAATAACTGCGGAACACTGCATTTTTGCAAATTAAAAAGGGAAACATTCAGTATAACTTGTTCCTTTTTTTTTTTTTTCAGTTCTTCAAGGATCTTATGCATAGCATATGAGGTTTTGCAAGGCTTGCAATATATGAACAAACATGGAATGGTCCACCGAGCACTCTCTCCATGCAATATTCTTTTGGATCGAAAGGTACAGCTACAGGAATAAATCTATGGCTTCGTTTGGTTTTTGTTTTTTCATCTCGCGGCCAAGAGGTAGCATGCTAAGTTTTATGTGGAGACTGGGCAGTCACAGTCCTTCTGATGGGGGGGGGGGGGGGGGGGAAAGTAGCATATCTAGAAAGCTGTTCATTTTGGGATTTTTGTTTGGTTTTTTTTTTTTCTTTTCTTTCTAGAACTACAGTTTTCTCCCATTTCCTAAATTTCAAATGTATTTCAGATTTTTTTTTTTATGTTTTCCCATTTTCTTCTATCCTAAAAAATTTTTTCACCCTTTTCTTAAGGTGGTAATCTAACTCTACTTGACGGCATTCTAGTTAGTTGCGAGACCTTTTGAGGTGTGTGAATGGGAAAAGATTTTTTTCTGGCTAAATAGCTGATAATACTATTTCTTGTGTTTCATGGTAATCTGATACTTGACTTTTAAGATAGCGACGTACTTCTTTGTTCATGTTCACTTTTTAAAATTCCAGTGTCTGTCAGTTTTGTTGTCACAGACTACTGAGTTGGCAATGTGGAATACAGGTTCTGCTCATAAAAGCTGAGAGAAACTAATCGCTGCTACTTCATCTGAACTGACAGCTAAAGAGCTTGTCCTGTCTGCATTAACCCCTCTCTTACTCTCCTTCTTAATCAGTTTAGATAGACTAGTTGGATCCTCCTTTCGGAAGGCAGAAAGAAAAGAAGTAGGAAGAAGGAAGGAACACTATTTTTGACATACTTGGAAGCAAATGAAAATCATAATAATGCTCTAACAAGCAAAAGTACTTCAGGATTTTAAGATACTCCTAAAGTTAATAAAAGAACAAAAGGGGGCCAGGAGACCATAAACTTCTAAACTTTTTTCCCTGCACTTGAAAAGCTTGCTGATGTAGCCTTCACTGTTGCACCATCTTCAGGCTAGCTGAGTATAATTCAAAATCCATCAGGACCAATACCTCTGTTCAACGTCTATGCCTATTTTTTGTTGTTTTGGTGTTAACTTTCTGCCTTCACAGAATAAAAGCAAGCTCCCGGAAAACTTGTTTGTTTGAAGTATGCGTTGATGCAGTTAAGGAGAGCAAGGTAGTAATGAGTTGATGGGAAGGACTGGAGGTACAAGGCTGGGTAAATGGGAGAGGTGAGGGAAGAGTGGTGACGTTTAGGGAGTTCTAGATTCAATCAAACAGGATTCTGAACAGTTTTCAAACAGGAAATATGTTCAATTGTGTATGTAAGCAGCCTTTTTAATTTACTGAAAATATACTGTAACTTGGAAAGTTCTGGTTTCCTTATGTGTTCCAAACAAAGTGATTACTTAATGCTCTTGGGAAGTAGAAACATTAGAAATAAGCATCTTATTAACTTGCAGTGGAGTTCTGTGTAGTAGATGAGATGGAAATGTATGTGTAACCTTTTTTGAGTATCTGTCTTCTAATAGCTATTGGAACTTTAAATTTTTGTTTTATTTTATTTTTGTAACTTAAACACAGATTCTTACAGTGTTTGGTCCTGCTGCTCTTGGTCATTTATTTTTTTTCCTTTTCAGGGACATGTGAAATTGGCTAAATTTGGACTCTACCATATGACTGCTCAGGGTGTTGATGTTGATTTTCCTATAGGGTAAGGATGTAGCTACACAATGCAAATATATTGCAGATGTGTTTTTTCAGGAAATACTGTTTTGAGGAATCATCTTCAAAAGTGATTTGTATGCACAGGTTATAGGTTGCTGGTTTATTTCATACCAGTTACGTATAGCCCTTACACAGGAGCTTCTGGTAATGCCACTGAAGAGGTTAGCGTCTGGCTAGGTGAAATCAGTGCAGAATGGCAAATGGGTACTGTGCAAGCATGTTACTGTAGCTATGTGATGTCAGTCCTTATTGCCTAGATTTGCCTTCAAATGCTAGTAGTTCCATGTGACTCAGATTCTGGAGGTACAATCCAATATCAAATTTAGGAAGAAGCACAATCAGTGCTTTGCTGTTACACAGTGTTGTAGGCCTCTTGTTTCCTTATCGTTTTGTGATTTATTTTCAAGTGATCGTACTATCTAGCTGAAGTGACATGCTTTGTTGCAGTGTTTTCTCGTGACTTTTTTGAGATGTCATGTTGTTTACAATTGAAATACTGACCTGATTCTTAAACACAAGCTCAAAAGAAGTTATGATGTTTCACTTCAAAAGGTGATTTCAGGGTTGGTTTTTTTTAAGTATTATAATGAATTGTTGACAGCAAATGTGATTATGTTATTTTTAAATGATCTAGCAACAAGTAGAATATGTCCTCAACATCTTATGTTACTTGTTTCACAAATTCAAATGTTATTTGATAGGGACACTGTCAGTGGAGGGGGATACAGCCAACGTTCTCCAAATGTGGGTCTAGGATACATTTATTTAATGTACTAGTGCTTAAAAGTCAACATACATTTTGTTTGAGATAGGTAGACACACTATGTAGAAAGCTGCTGTTATTTTCTCTCACAAAAACACCGGGCTAGTGATTAAGATTTGACCCTTTATGTAATAGGCACTATGCATTTTGCAGTTGGAGTGAACATTTGCTGCAATGAGTAGATATTGACTGAATAGTAGTTATGAATACTAGTTTCCCAGAACGTAAAATTATTTTGATTATTGCTACTGAAAGGTGTAGGGGGTTTTGGACAGAAAGGGTATTACTTAAAGTTGCTGCATTTTTCTAGGTACCCATCGTATCTGGCACCTGAAGTAATTGCACAGGGAATAATCAAACCAAGTGATTCTACGCAGTGTGAGAAGCCTCTGCCTTCTGGCCCTAAATCGGATCTGTGGTCTCTTGGTATAATATTATTTGAGCTTTGCGTGGTATGTCAGAGGATAATTCTCTTGATTGCGACTCTTGGGGAATAGTTACATTAACTTGATTGCTCTTGAGTATGGGGTTCATGACACTTTACCTGTCACCGAAGTCCAAATACCAAAATATGTTAGTGTTCCTACCTGTACAGAATTGGTGGTGGTTTAGGTAGTAGGGTACATAATGGCTTGGTGTGAGTGTAGCTGTTAACCATGAAGGGCAGCTGCCTGTTAAGCCACAATGATGTGATTGCATGATCAAGTTCTTAGGGAGGAATAGCTTCTGAACCAAGAAGTTTCTCTAGGTAACTTGTTTTAATTATGCTTTTAAGTGTGAAATAACCATTGCGGTCATGCTCTCCTTCTCCTTGGAAAGGATGAGAAACTAATAAAGTTTCATGGAGAGGAAGAGAAGGGAGCATCTGCCTTATTGCCAGATTTTAAAGTGATTCTGTACAGAATTAAGGGTTTATTTGGAAAATGCTTATTTAACTGTAGAAGCTGAACTAAATTCTGACAGCATAATCTTGACCATTTGTATATGTTAAACTAGACTTCTTCCAGTCAAAGACAGCAACAATCTGTAGGGAGATACAATCTAGAAAATACCTCAATATTGACATTTAGTCTTGTTATAGAAGATAACTAAAATGTCAGACAACTGTATGGTCAAGAGATGTTTTCTGTAGTGTTTTATATGGTGATTAGAACAGAACAGTGGAAATAGTTTTATTTTGCGTAGTCTGCTCTTATGTAAATTTCCATAGTGTTCATAGATAATTACTCTTTCAAAAAAGAATATTCTCTTAAAAATGCAATGTTTTGAAGCACCTTTAAAGGGGATTTCAGATAGCTTGTATTACTACACAATGCAGAAAAAAGCAATTATAATTATCATGTTCAGTAATTGATTAACTTTAATCATGCTCACATTGGAAAAAATACAGGTTTTTAAAACTGTTTTGTTCACTAAATTAATAATAAACCTGCAGGTTTACTAAGATGGCTTAGGGCTTTTTTTTTTTTTTTCTGTTTTGCATTTGTTCCAGTTAAGAGACATTTTAAATGACACATTGTCTTCTTTATGATGGCAAGAAACTGTTTCTGCTATAGTTGGGGTAAATAATGTTTTCTGTTCTAACAGATAGTTTTCCTAAATCTAAAATTGATATGTAGAAGCTTGTTTCACTGTCTTCATCTATAGAAGGGTATGTGTGCTACCTAAATATTTTTATGTACCAACTGTTGAATTGGTTTTGTTTTTCATTTAGGGTAGAAAATTATTCCAGAGTTTGGAGATAGCAGAGAGATTGAAATTTATAATTATGTTAGGTAAGTAGCACAAAATCAATTTTTTAAGTTTCCAATCAATTCTATAGCTAGAGCTTGTCAGACTAGTCAGCTTGTGATGCTCAGGCCAAAGGCAGTTCTCCTTTGCCAGCTTTCATTTGCAGAATTAAGCAGGCATTTAAAGCATGGTTGTTTCTCTAGGGAAGGTAGAGAAGTGGGTGCCAGGAACAATAACTTTGCAGAAGAGCTATGAGTATGTTAGAGTAAGGGCATACTATAAAAAAGCATGCTCAGGAAAGGTGGTCATTCTGATGGTTATTTGTTGTTTTGTGTTGCAGGAGGTTTCTGAAATGAGTTAGGAATTGTATGATGCTAAAGAAAACTGTCCCTGCACTAGCAGTGCTTGTGCATCAAATCCCAAGCAGGCAGAAGGAGGAGTCAAATAGGAAGACAGAAAATAAAAAGAGAGCTGAGACATGTATTGCTGGATGCAGGCTTCTTTTGTTTCTGGCTTCACCTACAGAAGGCAAACTACAGAACATTACTGTAGATGTGGAATTTTTGCTTAATGTAAATGAGTCTGAAAGTGGGACTATTTTCTGGCTTTTAAAACTCAATTTCTTGTGGGGTTTACGTATAAATCATGAAGAGAGAAAGGGCATGAATTTGCATTTTGAAGCTTTATCAGTAAGTTATCCAGAGCAAATACTAATATTGTTGAAGTTAGTGTCAGTAGAAACATCTTTTTTATTCAGCTGTTAATGCCTGGGTGCTGAAATGCTGACTGTTTTGATAAGTGATTTGTTAACAAAGCTTCCTGAAGCATTTCAGTCCCCTTCAAGTTGAATGCCAGTTACTGGTAACCTTTATCCACTGAAAAACATTTGTGTCCTGACTTGGGAATTATTTTCTCAATAATGTGTTAAAAACAAGTTATAAAATACTGCTAGTATTATCTGCAAGTAGCAACAAAATGAAAATTACTTTGAGTTTCTATATGCAGGTATTTTTAAGCTCTTTCAGGGATTTGTTTGTTTTTCATAAGTGGAAAGACTGTTTTAATTGATTTGGCAGAGACTGACACTATGGATTTACTAAGCCTGCAAAAAGATTTTCACTGTTAAATTAGATGAACTATTTTCCTAGGCTTCAATTTTCTTTCTGCATAGGTGATGATAAATTTCATTTTTAATTTTGATAATTCGCTTTCAGGTGATGTGTCAATGTCAATAAAAAGTCAAAGTTAAGTTCTTTTTGTTGGGGTGGTATTTTATCTCATATCCTGTTTAATTAGTATCACTTTTTTCATAGTCTCTAACTTCTTATTCTGTTTATTTTTCAAAGGCTGTGTAGATGATATTGTAACTGTATTGGCTGAAGAACATGGTTGCCTTGATATTATTAAGGTGTGTGGAACTAGTTTGCCCTTCAGTGCTGTCTTATCCAAAAAATTTTATTATTGTTGAATAGTATTTCACTTTTTATTAACTTATTTGGTCACTTTATGTATTGCAGTATGAATCTGAACTACATATCTAAAATCCTTTCAAATAGCCAGTACTGGTAATATTCTTTCCTAAAATTACTGTCAGTCACAGTAGATGTTAACGCTCTCTGGATAATTTAATTAGTTACAAATTTTCTTTAAAGTGTTGGAAGTTAAGTATTTTCTTCTAGAAATTTAGACTGCTATCTGGTCTACTTTACACATTCTATAGTATAGGTTTATACAGTTCAATTCCTCCCCACTCCCAAAATTAGTCACTGAATTTTACTGTCTATATTTTGAAGACACTGTGTAAAATGATTCTGACTACTGGCAGAAGGGACTTTCCAAGTACAAGCTGGGTACAGAATATCTAAATTAAAAAAATGAAAACAAAAAGCTGCTTACACTACATATTTTTCAGATTATTCAGTTTGTTTTTTTCCTCAAAGCAAATGCAGGGTCAGGAGGTGAGAAGAAGTACTTCCCCAGCATTTTGGTCTGACACAGCTAACCTTATATGTGTAGGTGTGAAATTTCATTGCCCTCAAAAGAATAGTCTGTATGTTAAAAGTTAAGTATGAGGTAAGTGGTTTCCTGAATTAAGACAGTAGTAAACAGACCTCCTCCATATTTTTCTTATGTTCCAGGACCTTTCTGAAAATATTATAGCTCTACTGAAGAAATGCCTTACATTCCAACCTTCTAAGAGGCAAGTATTGAGTCCAAGTGTCTAGTGATAATATGAAATTAGAAGACCCATTGCAGAACCTTTTCTGGAATACTGATGATTTGCACTATGTATAAGCAATTACTATTTTTGTTGCTTTTCAGTGTTTAAAGGAAAAGAATTGGGGGGGCAGGAAAGAGGTGTGTGGAACCCAAGTGTACAAAACCTTGAAATTGAATCTGAGTATTTTGGGCGAACACTATTCAGGCATTTGTTGTTCTAAGTTCACAGCTTTTACTGATTCCATGTCTGGAAGTTGGTGGCAGTTACTATAGTTCTGTTGTAGCCAAAATTAGGGCTGCTTTCTTCAAATTTCATATTTCAAACTACTTTTTCATTATGTCAGTCCGCCACAACTTTCTTCTGAAAACTGAAGTATGCTTTTGTTCTTTAATTAAGGCTTCGCATTTGAATTTTTCCATCTCTGCTTAGAGGAATTAAAGGGGAATTGAAATAGTTGCTATGTACCTTAAATGAAGGTGAGATCCGAACTTGGGCTGTAAACAGACTGCATGGTGTGTGGTGCATCATGAATTGAACAAAATTGGTAGACATTTTTGCTACTAAAACTTCTGAAATACAATATAATTTTAAGTAACTTACTAATATTTGTTACTGGTGACATTTCTTACCGAAACGTAACATTTTTGGAAGCACTTTACTTATTGTGTTTTTATTCTCTTATCTTAATTCAAGGCCAACTCCAGAGGAATTGCTGCATGACAACTTGTTCAGTGAAGTATCCTCAGTATATCCTCTCTTCCATAAATCTGCTGGTCTGTTCTCATCTTCTCCAAGGTGTGCTAATTTAACGCTTCCTGAAGACATAAGTCAATTATGTAAAGGTAAAAGCAGGGAGTGGGATAAATGTAATTGGAGGGGGAAGGAAAATAACATGTTTTCATATTTTCTTTGAATACTTTGTTGGAGAGAAACTATTAAATGTTACAATACTACATTCTTGTAATCAGTTGTTTAATGGGTAGAGATATGGACAGACATGTTTTGAGGGATGTATGCGAGTCAAAGGAGGGCATCCTGATTGTGTGCTTCAACCTCAAGAAATAAATAGTTATAATTAGTATTCAAGTCCAGCTTGGAATATCAATATCATGTCTTGCCTTTAGAATTTGGACATGTGCATGTATAAGGTAGTTGGGGTTTTTTTTCCACTAAATTATGTTGTGAATTGGTAATTGGATTCTGCTGCATCATAGAATGAGATGATTTTTGACAGTATTGAAAAACTAAATCCTTGTGGAAGAGGTCACATTCTAGAATAAAAGATGACATTCCTAAGTTTAAAACTACAGTATACTAGAAGTATTACCACTCTTAAGTCCTCATTAATATTTTCTGATGAATTCAGAGATTTCTACATACTTAGAAAATCTCATTATACAATTTTTGGAGATGAAGATTTTATACCTTGTTAGTATGGCTATGGAATGTGAAGGGAAGATAGAAACTAGTGATTCATACAGAGTAGTTACAGTCTTACTTCTACTCTTAGCGCTGTATTATGTACAGAATAGTCAAAACAGTTAAAAGACACAGAGGAAGCAGAAGTCCACACATCAGTGTATTTATCAGATTGGTTCTCTTTTCTGACACCAAGGCAAACTGCAGAAATATTTGCTTCTTTCTAAATTCTGCCCATCTGCTCTTTCCTTAAGTCTTCCTAAAGGGCACTTGCAGAGGGAAGATCACTTTTCCTGTAACTTAACATTAAGGTCAAGGACCTTTCAAGCATAATAATTTTTTTTTTTTTTTTTTTTTTTTCAACAATATGTGTTTAGAGTGGCAGGAAGAAACACAGGCTGTCTAAAAAGCTGTAACCCACTATTATGTGTTTTTTCCTAATAGATGAAGATAGTGATTACCTAGCAGAAAGATCAATTGAAGAGGTTTATTATCTCTGGTGTTTGGCTGGAGGAGACTTGGAGAAAGAACTTGTCAACAAGGAAATAATTCGATCAAAGCCACCTGTCTGCACACTTCCCAAGTAAGGAAGGAGAAGCACTTTAAGGGAAAGGAGGATGGATGCATTGATTCTGAGAGAAAATTTTGGTTTGGTTTTTAGTTTCAATAACCGTATGTAAAAATACTGAAAATAATGTTCCTGAACAGCAGGAAATCATGTCACTTCCCCTCTTACAAGGCCTTTAAATAATACCTTAAATTGTGTATATGCCGCCTACCTGCACTTTAAATTGCTTTCTGAAACTTGAAGATGCGTAGATGAAGTAAAAAGTACTGAACTGGAAGTCCTTAAAATTAACACGCTTGCCAATAGCTTTAAGTTTTAGTAAAAATGTCTCAGTGTGCTTCAACAGCATGTTTGTAATTGTAATTTAATCTAATAGGCTCTGTAGCAAATCCTCACTTTCTGAATTCCCTTTCAAAGAGCAGCAGTGCTGAATGGTCAACCCAGTTACTCAGGACATCAGCTGATTACTTCATTTTCAAATGCTTAGTTTTATGACTTATAATTCCATAACAGCATCTTAATCATTACTACTTTTATCTCACTGCTGCACAAGTTGCAGTATTATGTAGTATATTCATGCTTTAATCCTACAGTCTGATCTTGGTAAGCGTAATTATGTGTGCATATAGATCAATCTGCTGGTTCTGGGTTTTAAAAACAGTTTAAGTTAGTGCACAGGCAAAATGCAGTATCTTGAAAAAAAAAAGGTAAGCTACATTTTAAATGATAATTCGTTGGCAAAATTAGTATGAGATTTTGAGGGATTGCCTCAGCTGTAGGTGAATGTATGTGCTTTTTAATTATGAGGGGGGGAAACATTTTTCATCATACTGTCTATCTTGAAAATGAAGTGTAGTTTCAAAAATGCAATCTAACTCCATCTTCCTAGTTATACTGAGAATGTTAGCTTAATTTCTGGAAGTCAATTTCATGTTGTCTGCTTCAAAAAATGTCACCAAACAGACTATTTGTGTTTATTCTTTCTTGGATGCATTTGTATCCTTAGATGGACTACAGCAGAAAAGATCTGGGTCAGAGTTCTACTTGTTTTTGTCATGGTGGGAAATGGCTTTCATGTGGCAGTAATGTTTCATTTTTGCCTTTCACAATAAATGACAGACCTGGTCAAGGAATAAAAGGGAATATTAATCCCATATCTCATTACTCTACCTTTGTGTACAAACCAAAGTTATTGAAAACCTGTAATGTGCCTTTTTACAGCAAAAACTATTTAAATAATTTAAGGTGGTTGTACATTCCCTTGATAGCAGGTTTCATGCCATGAAAAGTCAATACAGTATACTTCTAAGAGCTAGTATTTTATTTTAAAGAGGAGACAGTGATTGATGTAAGAATTCTCTGTTTTTTTCCAACTCAAGTCTTATGGTATAAAATGACCTGATTTTTTTTTTTTTTCCTCCTTTTGAAGCTTTTTATTAGAAGATGGTGAGAGCTTTGGGCAAGGACGAGATAGAAGTTCCCTCCTAGATGACACAACTGTGACTTTATCTTTGTGCCAGCTCCGAAATGTAAGAATAATGTTGTGCACTTGTGTCTGCAGGGAAGACATAAGAACATTTGTTTAAAGGGGTTATGGAGCAGCAGCTCATACTGCTGTTCCTGCAAATGACGGTTATTGATTCCAAGAGAGCACTTCTTGGTGTCAGAGTCAGATTCTGATTTCTGTTATTCAATTGCTTTGTCTGTAAAAGCTTACTAAATTTGATTTCTCTTCTGTCCCTCCATTTCCTTATTTTTGTTACCTGCTTTGTTCTGTCTTAGCCCAAATAGTTCTGTAGTACTTGATATTCTCCCAGTTGCTGAACCAATTGAACAGTGAATGTCATCTTGCATTCTTTAATTCCTGTCTGTAGGTGGCTCACAATATTCAAAAGAATCAAAAGAAAGATCAACTCAATTCAGTTGCGGATCCTTAAAGGCTTTATGCTTAAAGTTGGATGCCAAGTTTCCAGTAGTTAATTACTAATCTTTGAAATACATAGCTGTTAAACAACTAGTTCAAAAGGTAACTTCAAAGTATTTCGCCAAAATGCAGCAATGCAGTTTTATTCCATCTGTAGTAGAAAAATCAACAGATGATAACCCATATTTCTGCCTGATATAATGATCAGTTACAAGATTTACTGCATATATCACTGAAATGTTTTATTTTTTCACATATCTTTAAACATCTAGAGCTTGATTGCTGTAGAATTGGAAGTCTAGACTGCACTGTTTGCAGGTTGCTTTTTCTAGTAGCAAATGCAATTCTATCACAGTCTTTATAAAAAACCTTTCCATATGATTACAGGGGTTAATAGAGAAAGGAAGGTGACTCCCGAAGTCTTGATCTCTGCCACCATTACCTTAATTTCGGGTGCAATGTGGCAAATACTGTATAAACGTATTTCTTCAGTAGAACTTTGCATTACTTCACACAAATACATGAAAACAGACAAAAGAACGTGGTTATGTTGGTTGGTTGGTGGGGCTTGGGGAGCCAGGGGGAGTTTAGGAATATGCAACAGCAATTTGAGCAATACTCAGTGCAGGTTCTACTGTTGTTCCTACAAAAGGGAAGCCTTTTAAGCTTTTTTTAAAAACTTTTCAATCTGTAATTTTTGATATTGCTGCCTACTTCTATAAATACAGTAGCGAATAAGTATATTCTGAAGTTTCATTTTGGGGAAGATACAAGCCTGAACCTTGCGGTGTTAGTTGAAATAAATTTTTGAACTTATGCAATTCTTCAAACACATTTTATAGAGCAGATCATGATGCTTGTAATCAAAAGAGAATCAGTACTGAATGAACTGAGAATGAACTGTTCAGTCAGTCCCAGGAGAAACAGGCTGTGTTCCTTTAAGTTAGGGATTGAACTGCAAAACAGAGCAGTGCAGGGGGGATGGTATTAAACATTAATCAGGATGCAGCAAAGATGTCTGAAAACTTCAGGCAAAAGTCCAGGCATACTTGTCTGTCACCTTTCCAGAGAGTGTCTGTATTTCTATGCAGTGTTCAGATAATGCTACTGAAAGGAACTCAAATTTGCATAACTATTGAACTGATTAAAGACATAAAACCAAGTTGTGCAGTTGCTCTGCAGCTACTTGGGTCCATGTAGAAAAATGAGGACAAGAACTATATAATAGCATTGATCTGTTAATCCGTGGACTATAGGAGCTTTTCTTATGTGGAAGTACATTTATGAATGAGATGAGTGTTATTCTCAGGCAGAAGAATTTCTATCAACTCAAAAAGGTTGTAGTAGCAAAAGTTCTTAGTGTTAAAGGCTGTATGTTTCTTGGCTGATGGAGGACTGAGATAATGCTTAGGTCTACGCAAGCTACTAAATTTGGCAAATGAATTGCTAATTAATAGTTTTCGTATTCCACTAAATACTGCCACTTGAATTCTAAGCAGCATTCTTATAATTATTTTTATTCTTCATTTCAGAGACTGAAAGATGTTGGTGGGGAAGCATTTTATCCATTGCTTGAAGATGAGTAAGTGTGTGTGTGTAAGTTTGTGCATATATAAGAGACTGAATTTTGAGTTATTAGTTTTGAGTGGCACACTGCACAGCTGGACACAACTGTCTTCCAAAACCAAACCCGACATGTCCTCCTTTGGCTCTGAAAGTCAACAAGAGCTGATAGGTACTCTGCCCTGGTTTAGGTAAGGCCCTGATGCCAAACTGAGGAGTCTAGCATGTTTCTCTGTTCTGGAAATCAGCTGTTTGTGCTGAATATTCAAAATTACCCACTTACAGTTGGTTTTGACTCAGAAATGCATCACAGGATAGTAATTTTTTTCAGTGATTTGTTTGGATTTCTTCCTGTTGATTACTACTATCCAACTCTTTTTCCAGCCAGTCAACGTTACCTCATTCAAATAGTGGTAATGAACTGTCTGCAGCTGCTAGTCTTCCTCTGATCATCCGGGAGAGGGACACAGAGTATCAGCTAAACAGAATTGTCCTGTTTGACAGGCTGTTGAAGGTATGGAATCTTTCTGATGCTGGATAATTAGAAGATTTTTAAAGGACCAAATAATTGAAAAAGGAAGCAGAGATACAAGAGACCACAGTGAGAAAGGGGAGGAAAACCTTGCAGATGCATAAGAAGATTGAAAATAAAAATGTGAGAAATAGGTCTTTCAGTAGTCATAAAAGTAAATTTTGAAGTACGCACGTGAAAATAGAGCTGCTGCTAATACCTGTTATTTACTGAAGAAAATACTTCTGCATCCTTTATTTCATAGCAGCCTAGGCTATTATAGGTATAAATATGCCTGTAATATTTCTGCATTTCCAGGCAGTAAGGTACTTGAAAACAATACCAGTCTTTACTGTAGCAGTGCCATGTTAGAAATATGGGTATTATGCTGAGGGGGAAAATAGCAGTCCCTAATTTACCTATATGCAGAGATGGATTCTTGCTTAAGAATGAGAGAGAGCTGGTGTGCATCATCAAGTGCAGTACTTAGGAAGGTATAAACTAGAAATGTTTAATAAAACAAAGTTGGATGCATGCTATGAAAAGGAACATATAATGAAGAAAGAGCTTTAGATAAAAAGTTAGATTGGCAAATATATATATCCAGTATATACCAAAGTACTTGAATATATTCATGAGAGAGTATTTTAACATCAAACTGTCATCTTCCATCCTGGCCTTCCAGTTAGGAATGAAATCTAATTGTTGTAAAACTTTTATTCACTATTCAGTCTGACAGCATTTGTCCTTTGTGGGGGGAAGACTGTCCCAGGTTTGGGATTTGAATTGTTTCAGTTACATGGTAACAATTTTTGCTGGTCATCTTTTCTCTTTGAAGGCCTACCCATATAAGAAAAACCAAATTTGGAAAGAAGCAAGGGTTGACATCCCTCCTCTTCTGAGAGGCATAACCTGGGCTGCCCTGTTGGGCGTTGAGGTAAGGGTAATGGGAGGACATTTGCAAAAGTTCCAGTACTGACTGGGGAGGGAATGGGATAGGAGTGGGATTGACAGGGAAGGTGAGGTGGATTTGAAGCTTTGGCAGCTACAATTACTGGCATTTCAAACAAAATGAGTCGTGAAACTGTGTTAATAAAGACAATGTTCAGAAAAACTTGCTCCTTGTCTCTAATGCTATTTGATTTCAGAGAATGTATGTAACCTTGACTGCCTTTAATTTTTACTATGGGATGGAAAAATACTACCCATACAACCTAATTTTGCTAGATTCTTTAAATACAATTGGTATTTAATGGGTTTTTTGTTTTGACTTTTAATATTTTTCACAAATACAGTTAGGATCCTTCTGATCCCAGTCAGCAATAGTTGGGCAAAACAGGCTGAAACATACCAAATGTATTTTTATCACGTGTCAATCAATGCACTTCCTCCAAAGACTGTAGAATAAATAAATTCAATGTAAGCAGTTTGGACAAAACACTAGAAGGTCATGTCCCGGAAATGAGGACTCCTCACAGAGATTGCTTGACTACCCAGCTATTGCATTAACCCTGCTTGCAATCTGCAGTAGTGCAGCAAAGAGGTTCTTAGAGGTAACACATTCCAGGTTATTTAGGATATTTAGCATAGGGTGCGATCTGCCAGGTGCTATATAATATGACTCAAAAAAAGCTGTAAAGGTAAAGAACAGTTGCTGGTCAGGGTTGTAGCCTAGGTCTTGGGAGATGAGTAAGTTCTCATGCTTCATCATCTTACCATCTGCACAATGCAGGTAGTGTTTCCTTGTTTCAGAACATGAAGATTGACTTGATAGCATGCCTGTCTTGCAATTTATGCAAAGACTACTTTGCTTAAGGCTACTTAAGAGTAGTGTATATTGGTAATATCAGTGCTAATTAGCAAGCAGCTGGATTCAGTGCCTTTATAGAGATGATGCGGAAAGCCAGTTGGCAGTGGCTGAGGCAAGCGCTAAATTTAAAGCAAGAGCATTTCTTAACTTGAAAATGGAAAACTGTATCAAGTATGTAGCTTTCTGCATAAACAACTGAAAAACCCTGAACATCATACTAGGAGGTCACAGAAAGGTCTGTATGTCCTGAATTATAACAGAATAAAGATGTTGATGTTAAAATTAAGCTGTCAGAATTTTCTGTACTTTGGGAAATTTTTTCAGGAGAAAAAAGTTGTGAGCTAAAGTACCACACAAAAACAGTCAACTTCTGTATATCAGCATATACATTGTAATATGCATTTATGTGAACGGCTTTCTAAATTCAAGTATTCTTCTCCCACATTTAGGGTGCCATACAAGCAAAATATGATGCCATTGATAAAGACACACCGATTCCTACAGACCGACAAGTAAGACATCTGGTGCTATCAAATATTGTCTGTTGAAGTAATGCAAAAGTCATTTGCATATTACAGCAGACGTGGCTGATAACACTAAAAGGGTTCCCCCTGTCCTCTAACGTTATTCATGCTGTAGCAAGTATCTTGCAAAACAAATAGGAACAAGTAGTTTAACTCAAATTATGCTATAACGTGGAAAGTGAAATCCTCTTTTACTTCAGAATCCCTGTTTCTGTAGCAGCAGCAGAGTTTAGTGAACAATATTCCTGATGTATTGTTAAAAGTCCTGTTTTTATCGGATGTTTGTTGTGCCTCTTGGACCTTATACTAGATAGTGCTGAGTACCCTGAGATCCTGTAAGGTCAGCTGTGCTTCACGTAAATGGGTTCTTGAGCAATTTGGTTCTCCAAGAAATCTTGCCAGACATAAAAAGACATTACAAGCAACAGCTGTTCCTTTCAGCTGGGTGAAGAAATATTTTCCATCAAATTGGGTACAATTTTCCGAGAACTCTGATTTGTTTATCCTTTAGAGCAAAGTGATATTAGCACCTGAAATGAGTCTAAAATTTGGGTTAGAAAAAAAAATATAATTGTAATCTGATTTCTGCCTTTCTCAAGGGTTAGATCAATTTCAAAAATATGATTCTGGAAAAGGAAGTCTCTGCTTTTCATCTTTGACAGGGCTGTTAAGAGTCCCCTGTCCCCTTCCAGTTTTGGTTTTGAAAGTGATGGAGGAAGCAGATCGTGTTTATGATTGTGGTCTGACCCTAAGTCATTCTTTGGCTGACTTCCACCTCTAGTGTTGCAAGATTGCTGTGGTACCACCACATTCATCCTGGTTTGTTTTTATATTATATGCTTGGCTGTGGTGCAGATTGAAGTTGACATTCCTCGTTGCCACCAGTATGATGAATTGTTGTCATCACCAGAGGGTCATGCAAAGTTTAGACGTGTATTGAAGGCCTGGGTTGTTTCCCATCCTGATTTGGTGTACTGGCAAGGTGAGTTTGACTAGTTGGCAAGGACAGATAATTAACAGGAAAACTATGACTGACTTAAAAATATCTCCCTCTCCCCCCAAAATGTAAGGAGTTTTTTGAGTGCTATCCTTTCTGTTTCTTTTGAAGGATGAATCTGTGGCTTATTGCAGAACTAAAGTCTAGTAATTTGTATTTAATTTGTAATGCAAAATTGCCCCATTCTCTCTTACATATTTATTCTCCTTAAGCTTCAGTCACTTCATTAAAAAAAAAAAATGAAATAACTGTTGCTTACTGTTCATTTCCAAGGTAAAACTACAGAAGTTACTGAGCAAGTTCTTGGGATGGTAAATTGCATTTCTTGGGAGCCTTGGCAGAGTAATTGATTTAGTATTATAGTTCAAAAATTTTAAATCCTCAGCAGAATAATCAATTCAATATTATAGTTTAACAATTTGAAATCCTCTCTGTTTTCATGCATTGATTTCACAATTGTTCTCAGCATTACATATGAAGCCTGACATTGCAGAATTATAATAAGTATCAAGTAGGCAAATTTTCATGATAAATCAATGAATTTATCTTGTGCATTATGATAAATGAGCTTTTTATGCCGTTTCTTCATGGCTCTTCTCTCTTTAGGTCTTGACTCTCTTTGTGCACCATTTCTGTACTTGAATTTTAACAATGAAGGTGAGTGCCTTTTTCTTCTGGGGGTGAAGGGGAAGCACAGTCTGTCATCTCTATCTAGTTGTAGACGGATGTGTGTGCACCCACTTACAGATGGAAACTTTCTGTAGCTACTAAAGAATTTTAAAGCTCTTGTTGCCACAAGTCAAAAGAAATTATTGTTTTTTGAAAAGTCTATGTGATGTACTGCTCTTCAAACAGGAGTTCAAATGCTGTGTTTATTGCCAAGTACAATAATGAATGTATAATAAAAAGCACAAATAATCTTGATTATAGAATAGTGAGAAATGCTTCTCCAGCACTTGCCTTTTTCAGTGAAGCTGTAGTTTGACCTTGTTTAACGTGAATGTGTTATTTGTTAACCCAAATGTTAGCCTGTGTTGTGGTGACAGCTGCTTGCTCACTCCCTGCCTCCAGCAGGATGGGGGGAGAAACCAACCAAAACCCAACTCATGGGCTGAGATAAAGACAGTTTAATAGAACAGAAAAGAAAGAAAACAATAATAGACCTGGAATGTACAAGACAAGTGATGCACAGTGTAATTGCTTACCACCCACTGACCGATGCCCACCCAGTTCCCAAGAAGTGGCCCCTCTGCCAGCTTTCCCCACAGTTTATATACTCAGCATGATGTCGTATGGTCTGGAATATCCCTTCGGCAGTTGGGGTCAGCTGTCCTGGCTCTGCCCCCTCCCAGCTTCTTGTGCCCCCCCAGCCTTCTGGCAGGTCAGCACGAGAAGCTGAAAAGTCCTTGGCTTAATAAGATGCTGCTTAGAAACAAATATGAACATCAGTGTGTTATCAACATTAGTCTTATACTAAATCAAAAACACAACACCATACCAGCTACTAAAAAGAAAAATTACTCTGTCCCAGACTAAACCAGGACCACCTGGCAGCCTAGCTTTATTCAGAAAAGCTGATGATTGTTTTAAATGCCTAAAATCTTCTCAAGACCAGCTTTGGGTATGTGGCCTTTATCTTCTTAGAATGCGATTTATTCAGAATAGATCTAGTCCAATCTTCTTTTCTCTTGCACCTGGCTTTCTTCATATAAGGTCGGTGTGGGGAAAACTAGTTTCTTAGTACAATGACTCCTATAATGCCTACTGTGCATACTAATTCTAACATTTTAACAGATTTTTCTTGCTCTTGGATATGTTCTTATACAGCTTGATTGCAGAACCTGATTTCCTTTCCATTGAAGCAAAATATATAGTAGTGAATTATGTAAAATTTTGTGTTCTAGTTAACAAACTTAATCATATGCATTTAGCTTGGATATTTAAAGGGTGGTTTCAATGCTAGAGAAGTTGTAGCACAGAATCCATTTGTAACGTGATCTTACATCATATTTTCTATAAATCTTGTGTTTTGCTTAGCAACTCCCAAAATTATTTTTGTTGTCTTTGGACAATTTACAACAAACCCCTATTTCTGTTTTACATCTGTGGTGTAGCACCGTGGCTAAGAATTGTATTGCAATAGACTGTCTCTTAGCCGAGTTCCCAGGAATTAATCAAGAGGATAAACACTAAAGCTTGACCGTCTAATCTCTATCTGGCATGTATGTGAGGAGCCAGTGAGAAATTTAAGATTTTTTTTTTTTCTATCTTTTTAACAATATTTTTAACGATAATTCCACTCTGTGTTTTTCCTTCTATATTCTATCATCTTTAGTTTCTGAGCTGAAGTTAGAGACAAAATACGAGCCTGATGGGGCAAAAACTGTGAAAATTCTATAGGAGAAAACCCAGAAGACTGCAACAATGCAGTTGTCTGAAACTGCCCTATAAAATTTTATTCATCCAAGGACCTTCACTTTTTGGTACAAACATCACCATGGCTTTCCAAACATCATCTCATTACTTTGTAGCTGAGACGTATGGAAATAAACTGGTCACAGACCAGGTCCAGCCAGCTTTATATGGGTTAATCAGTGACAGGAGACTTTCTTAGGAGCTTTTAAAATTCTTTACTGAGGAATATTCCCTTTTTATGTGTTTTATGATCATTTTTGTGTATAGATTGATTTAAGTATTTATGCTCATTATTTGCCTAATAATGACCTTTTTTAGGTGTATTAATGATTCTACCTCAGTAGTTGCATCCATTTTTCTAACTTTTTCAGCTCTGGCATATGCCTGCATGTCTGCTTTTATCCCCAAGTATTTGTATAACTTCTTTCTGAAGGATAATTCTCATGTTATTCAAGGTAAGTCAGTCCCTTTATTTTGTAATTCTAAGAGTAGAATTATTTCTAGATATATAAATACACTTTTTCAAGTGGTTGTAAAATCGGAACACAATTAGAATCACATTTTAGAAATACCTACCTATTTCATTCAAAAGCTTTATTTTAGATACATAAGAACAAAAGCTGTGCAAGAAAAATAGGAACAACATAAGAGGGTGAAGATTCAGGCAGGAGAAAAACAACTGCACACAAAAAAAAAAGCAACCCAGAAATTTTCTGTGTAGTATCCAAGGTAAGAGTCAGTTGATCATGCAAAGTTTTAAAATGAAGAAATAGTCTTTCCAGTGTTAGATTGTAAAGACCTCCTCTTCAGGTGATCAAAATCATACTGTTACAGGAGTGATTTTGACAATGAGGGAAAATGAAGAGGAACAGTACAAACTAGTGACTCCTCAGAAACTGGAAGTTACAGTATTCAGAGAGTTAGGGATTTGCGGGGAATTTCTTACTGAACAGAGGATCATGTCGTTCAATACAGCACAGTTGTTGAAGAACCCTGGGGAACAGTGTTCATAGTTCAGTCTTCAACAGCTATATAGGTAGCTCAGAGAAATTTAAAAAATAGCTAGTAAGTAAATGTCTGTTCTTGAAAATTATTTGTAAATTTAATGGATGAAGAAGGAATTGTTTAGACCTAGAAAGTCACCTGCGCACAGTCTGTGTTAGAAAGATAATTTGTCTTGTAGGCAGCTTTTAAAAACCAAAAGAAGCCATTTGAAACGCCATCAGTATTTTAAAGAAAACAGGTGGTAATGAATGTTTTTAACTGCAAGCAGTTATGAGTGTTTACTGAATACTGCATTTCAGCATGGCTTGATGTCCTTGTATTTCTTCTAAAGAAATTCTTTTTTATATAACTTATGAAAGTCAAACTTAGAAATGGCGTCTGTCATATTTTGTCTTGAAAAAACAAAAGGGAATTAAGAACTGATCAACAAAAAATTATTAGATGTAAAACCAGTTACATATTGGGTAATAGGGAGAGAGCTAACATAAGGGGAGAATACAGTGGTCAAGAGAGTTGGCATATGAAAGACAATGGGTAGGAGGTGTTATGAGCTGAATATGCAAGTAATAGTTTGGAATTTTGCCACTTCATCCTTGAAGTCAAATATAATAGAGAGTTATCTGCTCTTCCCAGGAGAGACAGTAGTCAGCATCTAGTCCTTACAGTAGGATTTAAAGGAAGCATTGGCAACTCTGAATGGCTAATTTGTGGAGCTGTATGGACTTGGTGTTTGGGGGCTTATCTTTGGGGACAGTAGTCTGTGGAGTATTGAGATGCCAGCATGTTCTGATCAGGGAGCAGGGTTCACAGTCTCTTTCTCTCTTCCTCCCATTGGCTAGCTGTCTGGGCCCTAAGTGCTCTCTTCTTGGGAGCATGGAGAAAGTGGAATTGCTATCTGTTACAAAATTGCAATGTTTCCTCTTTATCTTCCTTCTAATGAAGCATATGACAATGTGGACAAAATTGGGAGAGGGCCAGAACAGAGAGAGAGAGAAATCTGTCAGTGTCTGTGTTCTGCTGTCTACTGCTTTTCCAATTAAAAGCAAATTGGGAAAAAAGTAATTAAGATGTTACTGATCACAGAAGTGCTACCCTTAAAGCCCCATTGCTTTAAAACCTTAACTTCCAGGTTATAAACCTTAGCTTTGTAGAAAAGAAACCACACAAAATATAATTTAAAGAATATAAACTTTGTGTATGACTAAAACTGTTTGGATCTCAAATCCCTGGAATGGACTTGTTCTAATTTGCTTCCATCAATATCCTGTGGCTCATGCTCATACTGGAAAGTCTTTAATTTTGCATGTTGAACATATATCACAACCTAAATATGAACCAAGTAAACCATTGTTGAAAATTCAAATTGAGAAGTACTGAGGAAGAGAAATTGAATGTTTCTTCCTCTGTATTGAATATAATGGTGACAAGGAGGACAGTAGTGGTATTCACTTGCTGGTTTATTGTAGGTTTAAAAAAAAAAAAAAGATGAAAAAAATTTGTGTTCTTCCTTTTCTACAGCTAGCAGTGAGCTAGCAGTACATGGTGGCTTATGTTTTTGATGATGATCTTGAATTTGTTTGTCATTTCAGAATACCTGACGGTATTTTCCCAGATGATTGCATTCCATGATCCGGAGCTGAGTAACCATCTTAATGAAATTGGTTTTATTCCAGATGTAAGTACTAAGGGTTCTTGTAAGTATTGTTCAGAGGAAATAAAATTTGGAAAATGAGGGTGGCTAGGATGAGATGTCTTTCCAGACTCTTTCAGTAGCAGTTTGACATAAGTAAAACTTTGACATTAATGGACCTTTCTGAGTATGCTGTTAAAATGGTGAAGGTTTAATTGTTGTTTTACATACTTCAGTCTTTCCCGTTCTGTTGGCATGGTAAATTCAATAAAAACACTACTCATGATTTATTATAATTTACAGATTAATCTTAGAAGATGCATATAATTTTATTTTTAAAGTGTGGATTAATATACAAAAATTCATGTGGCCATAAATCACTAATAGTAAAGTAATTAAATGCTGTTGGTTAACACAAAAGACACGTGAATTTGCAGGTAATAAAAAAAAATATGTGCAAGTAATGGTTAAACTTCAGACATGGCAGACCTCAGAAAATGCTTAGCAGTTATTTGTCGAAGTCTGTCAGAAGCATTGGACAAGCACTTAACTTATGTCTAAGTTTTATGCTTTCATTGGAAGAAGTCTATAACATGTAGGAAAGTGAAAACTGACAACACAGCCAAAATGCTGTAGAGAGGGAGGACTGTGCTGGAAAAGGTAAAACAAGGCCTTCTTTCGAGCCTCACTTTTAGCTATCACTGTAAATAGTGAAGTTTTCCTCCTTTGTTTAGAGAGGCATGTATAGTCCAGAAAGCCCGGATAATGATCTATAAAAACATTTGTCTGCATACTATAGTATTCTTGACATTTATGGCTGATGTTTCTGATAAATAGATTTAGGCAAGGCCATAGATAGAACATTAAGTCATAGGGTCTCTATCATGTAGAAATTTGGTAATTACAAGTTAGTCGTAAGAACAGATGATGACGAGAGGTCAAAATGGAAGAAGGAATCGAGATGGTGGTGGAGAAATACAGATTTCATAAATAAGAAACTTATATACATTTCTTCTATAAGCAATATAAAAGTGTTTCCTAATAAGCATAAGGCTCTTCTGATATTTATTTGTTAAAGTCTGTGGATGACCAAAGGAATTTATCTGTTTATTTTGTTCTTTCTCACTGAAGAGGCAGAGATGTAATTTCCCTGACCATTTTACAGCTCCCTGATTCTTCTACTAACCTACATGAGAGCTCTGTAGCAACCCATCTTGGGTGTTAGGTGATCTTTCAGCAGCTTCTAGTGTCTGCTTATGCAGTTATAATTCTCCACTGAAAATTTTGAAGGTGCAATTCAGATGGAATAGTTTCAAATCATCTGGTTTGTTATATTTTGGTTTCTGTGTTTTGCTAGTCATTGGACAGCACATACTCAAATGTGAGCCTTGCCTCTAAGTGTTAGAGGCTAGAAATGCTTCGGTTATGTAGTAAATAATTACAAAACAGAGGTGTATTTACTGAAAAAACCTCTAGCACTGAATATAAATGCTAGTTCTAAAATTAACACTAACCTCTGAATAGAGGTCATCCATTTGAAATATTTTTTATTTTTTTTTTTAATAAGTAAAAGTTGTTCTTCCTTTTAGATCAGTGAGAGAGCTGATATTAGTACCTGTAGCAAGACAGCACAGGATCCATCAAGGTGAAGGATGTGCGCTGTAGTAATGAGATCTGAACCAGAGTTTCTTGCTTGAGTACTAATCCTATCAAAGTAAACCCTGCTTAATCTTTAATCATTGAAACGCAGGCTCCGCTGCAGGAAGGGCTTCCTGGTAGCCCTCTCAATTGCTTCGGGTCACGTAGCTCTCAGAATATTGAACACTGCTGACGCTTGAATAGTTGTGATTGTTGTTAGCTGATGTGGTGCCTCGATTAAGTACATTGCTGTGGCTATATGATTTACATGTAAATACAGGGATATATACGGTGAATCTTACAGTTCTTTGCTCACTCTCCCAAAGTTTATAATCTCCCACACCCTATATAATGCTTTATAACACATTCTATATTTTACTGAACAATTCTGACATCAACAGCAGACCATTTTGAACTGAAGAAAAACAAGAAAGTGTGCTACATTACTAAAAGGGTAACCATAGCCATAAATTATTTTGAAGAGCTTTCAGCTGCAAATTATGGCATCTAGATGGAGTTGTTAGCTGCCCATTAACAGAGGTGACAAAGTCTGGCTGCACTGAATATCATTGTGCTGGAGCTGCTGTCACTGGTAGATAGCTTAGTTGGGTTTTGGTGATGTGCAGAAAGTGTCGGTAAGAGGGCTTCATCTAACTGAGAACTAAAAATCCTGCAATTGAAGTACTTTACCCCTGTTAGATCTGTTACATGATTTTCTAGTGGTGAATCTGGGGAGAGATTTCTTGATGGTATTTTTATCTTGTGAGTAAAGTGATCATTCTTCAAATTTTGTTTGTGTAGGCGCATATAGGTAGGTAGAATCTAATACTACAAATTGGGCTGAATCTGCATTCTCTTTGCATCCTCAGTCATCAAAACATTTTTGTACTTCTCTGTAGCATTTAAATATATGATTAATTGTCTAGGCACCATATAGGCTTGAAGCTATAAGTAGGTGTGTATGTATTTTGAAGACATAACATGAAGGTGTAAAACAAAAACAAACAGAACAAACAACAAAAAAAAAAATCCAACCTTTTTAGCTTTGGCCTTGCCATCTCATATAAACTATGATCTGCAGTGCAGTGTGAAGCACGTAGACAAAAAAAAGTTACTAGAATACTCAGAATAAGATTGTAATATTTTTTTTTTTAATTTTTGTCCTTTTTGTTTATTCTCCTTTGAGATAATGTTTTCAGCCTGATCACACCATGAGTGAAGTCAGAGATGGGTAACGAGATACGTACTTTAAAGCCCTCCTTTCGATCAATCCCAGATCACTTGAAAATGGTGGACCTCCTAACTATGTACAAGAATATAAAATGTAAATGAAAAATACAAACAGATTCTCCTTTGAAGTACTTGTAAGAAAGCAAGCAGGGCCTTGAAGTTTTGGTGCTCAGGGGGGAGTTTCTATTCCTGCTAACGGGTGAACTGGTTTGCATGTTGGTTGAGTGACAGCGCTGTGCCTGTGTGCCAGGGCTCACTCTCCTTGGTGAGGATGGCCAAGGAGGAGAGGGAAGGAAGGGTTGGGGGGGTGGGGGTGTCCCAAGGGTGAAAAAGATTCCTTTTAACTAAGGATTATTCTTTTGTTATTTTCTTAGCCACTGTTCTGCGTAGGTATGTAAAATGGTCTTTTAGTTTATTAAGTTTGGAAAGAAAGATTGGATTACTTAACGGATCTTCATTCTCTGGGATTGTTACTGAATGCTTGAATAAGAAAAGAAATATGTGACACCTTTTCTGAATCCTTTCTGTTATCATTTGAGCCAGTATCTCTGAGAGTTTTGAGCATCTAACAGGAGATGTACACTTCTCAAAATATGTGCATCTAACCATGGGCAAGTAAACATCATCACCCTGTTGAAACACAATGAACTGCATCTTCAAGGTCAGGTACTGAGAAGAATTTGTCATAACAGAGCCCTATTGGAAGGGAAGCTTTAGCTAGAGATAATGGAAAGATGGAGAATGAAATGGAGTCTCAAGGGCAAGAGATTTCAATTGTAACTGAAAAAACCTGTGGATTTATTCAGACTGAACAGGAACTCATGTTAGGGGACTGCTGTATAAGAAATGTCCAAGTCCTTACTTAAAATACAAGCTCTCCTGTGCTTTTACTAGCAAAGCAAAATTCTAATCATGGTGTGGCTGATTTAAAGTTCACTCTTAAAAAAATCAAGCACTGGTTTTACAGGCTCTTACTTTAATGTGACTTATTCTCCGGCTGTTCCAGCAGCTCAAGTGCTACTTTGATTAAACATTAGATATGCTTCCCAACTATGGAAAGTTAAGCGTCAATGGAAAACACAATCCCGTCATGTTTCAGGGTTCAGTAGTGAACGGTTGAGAATCTTTATCAGCAGCTTGTTAGTACAGAAGCTGTTCCAGCTGGTGGTTGCTAGAGGGCAGTATTTACTAATAATTTGCTAAATGTGCAGTCATTTAACTAAAAGAATTTAGCCTGTTTATTTGAGGACTTCAAGTCAGTGCAGTTCTTTTTGTCTGTGTTTTTTAATTTGACTTGCATGGTGGAATTACACCACTAGTGTTGTGGATTTTCTTTGCTTGCTTGTGAATAGTAATCATAACCCCTTCATGTTTACCAGGACCTTCTTGTCTTAGAACATTATATATGTGAAAAACAGAGGGAAAAATCCCTTCAATAAAAACTTCCTTGGCACCTTCTACTTAGAGTACTTCTAATGTCACTGTGGATAGGTTTGGTGAGGATAGTTTAGAACAAAGCAGTGCTTTGCCTTGTGGTTACCTTACAATAATCTGTTTAATACTTCAAATTTTGTGTATTTTCTTGTGTATTTGTATGTAGATGCATAGAAGATAGAGGTGTCTGTAACTAGGACTAAGCGTGTATCTGCTTTGGTAAAACATTTTGATCAGATGTGTGAGAAGGAGGAAATAATTGCTTTGAAATACCAAGGAAGTAACGTTCAAAATGACGTCCACACAATTTGTAGCTCCAAGTGAAGAGGAGCCTCAGGCTATGAGCAATGCTTGTTTTCCTACTGCATGAAAAGAAAGATATTGCAGACATGCAAGCAGGTAAACAGGTATTAGCTGATCACAATCACTGTAGTGGGTATTTCAGGGAACAGGCTATGTTGTTCAGTAGGGAGCCATCTACTGAAGACATGACAAGGATATACTTGGGGAAATTGTGTGAATGTATTATAAGATGGTAATGGTGATAGAAATTGATATGTTTTGGAGTTTTAACCCTTAAAATCAACTGGGGGGTTGGAGCCTAAAGTTTATAAAATCCTCTGGAATACTGAAAGTGGTGAACAGTCCGGTCATCACAGCTTTCTTAGTTTTGTGGACAGTATGGTTCAGATACTATCAGATGCTCAGATGAAGACATAGGAATAAAATTTAGAGTGTGGTGTTCTAAAGAGCTCTTCAGCAAATGTGTGCATCATTTAATCAGTGCCATAACCCAGTTAAGAGTTTACGGAATAAGTAGTAATTTATTAACATTATGACGATTATGCTTACTTCCAGTGAAAGCTTAATAGGAGGACTAATTTGCACTTTTTATGAGCTAAAAAGTAATATATTAAGCTTTATGTCTAGCTGTAAATCTTCAGAAGTGGAAAACAGAGCACGTGAGCTATACAACTGAGTAAAATTTAACATTGATCATCTCACTCTTGCATTCCTAATTTGTGGGGATTTTCTGTGCAGTTCGATGTTTCAAGAGAATAGATTCTGTTGCCTTCAACATCCTAAATACTTCACTGAGCATTAAGAAACTCTTAAGGTGTCATAAATGCTTAGCTCTTCCAATGCATACTGAATTTTCTCTGTATGCTGTCAGGAGTATGAAAGTTTGCAGTAACTAAAGGCTTTCTGTAGCCATTGTAGGAGCACAGGTTCTTGAACAGTCTCATAATAGTATAAGTGCTGAAGCAGCCTCAAATTCTTCAGATGACACCTGCCTTTAAAGGTCCCAGTAGAACAAGGTAAATGCTTAAGATTTTAGTTTCTGGCACTATATACTTTTGAGAATGAGACAGTTCTTAGTGCCTTTCACTGACAAGTGTACATTTTAATAAATTCCAGCACAGGACAAAAAGGTAGATGTGGTTAATTTTTCTGCTGGAAATTGTGATTTGCACTTTTAACAATTTATATAGAATCAGTTGTTTTGTCTATAGTAAAAAAAAAAAAAACAAAAAAAAAACGATTGAATCAAGTTGGTTTATGCTTGTTCAGGCATCCTTTTCTCTTAGCAGTATACGTATGTAAGGTAAGAACTGTGGAAGTGTAATACAGCAGGTGTTTGAGTTCTTTAAGCCTTTGGGTGTTATTTTTTACAAACAAAAGCCTAGTGAAGGGTGGTGGTTGTTTTTGTTGTTGTTTTCAATGCAGTATCACAAACTAGTAATTTGAAAGAAATGAGAATGGGGGCCAAGAGAGGGGAATAAGCTTCTCTGAGGGGCTGAAAGTTATGTGATGGTGCTTCTTCCACCACAGTTATTTTCCATTTTAAAGACATTCATGACAAACAATGCACTTTTTAATGTAGTAGACAATTGTCACAAACAACTTGAGCTCTTAAAACTTTTTTTTTTTGTTTTCTTCCCCCATCACCTCCTTTTGCAGCTTTATGCTATTCCTTGGTTTCTTACAATGTTTACACGTGAGTATGCATTCTTTTTCTCTGATTAAATGTTCTTATACTTTGTAAGCATAATTTTTCTCACTTTTTCAGCTAAAGCCTTCTGAATTGGTGTGATGTGTATCATTTAGTAGGTTGCTTGTAATTTGCAAAGATGTGGTGTGGTTTGAGTCTCAACAGTGCCTGTCACATACTTTCTGCCCTGATTTGACAATAATTCACATTCTATTACTTTTTTTAAAAAAGTATTATATTAAATCTGAACGGGATTATTTTATGCATGCAGGATTTAGAGAGTCTGTGAAGGAAGCTGTTATTTACTGGGGGGGAAAAAAAAAAAAAAACAAACAAACAAAAAAAAACCTAACAAAAACACACCTCATGACTTTCCTCTGACCTCACCCAAATAATGTAAGAAAGAGAGTAACTTTGTTTTTAAAGACCAAGAAAACAACCTTCTTTTAATGAAACATTGACACATTGTTATTTTACTAGTGCTAGTTTACTATGATATTTGTGCTTGTATTTTAGGAACAAAAAGAGCTTTATCATTTGGTGAGCTTTTAATGAAAGAGGGCAAAGTTAATAAAGCAAGTCAGAAAGCAATTAAAAGACTTCTGATTTTTTTTTTCATTTTAGGTCAACATTGGCAGGCTTTGCATTAAATAAAAAAAAAATGGCAGGATGAAAAGAGCTGATGGATTATTTCTCTGATGAAATATCAAAGAATTTAATGTGAAATTCTTGATTGCAATTTTTAAAGATGTTGACTGTAAAGCACTGGCCCTTGCAGTTTTCCGTTCTATAACTTTCATGAGAATCGTCACCTTTGGAAAACCAAGGAGATGGTTTCCTTGGCGGTGAATTGCAGTAAAATGTTAGAATTATTTAGTTGAAGGATAGCTTATTTTAGGAGAGCCACCTTCAGCTTTATATGTAAAATGTTGTTATTTGTAACAGGTTTTTCCCCTTGTCTTTCCTTTATTGTGCCACTTTTTGCTCTATTCTGCTAATTTTCTTGTCTAATTTTAAGTAATTGAGCTTATTGATTAATTCATTAATGTCTTTGTACTATTGGAAATGCATGTCTCAATGCATAATTGCACTGTACCGGAAGAAAAATAAATTGCCTAATTTTGTGCGTGTTTGAAATTGAGAACCTGCACATTTTTAAGTATTTAATAATGAAAGAAGACACTGATGATTTCCAGAATAATCAAATGGCATATGAAGACAAACCTGTTTCTAAACAGGCTGAGTCCTTTTTGCTCCCAAATAAAAAAGGAATAACCTTAGGATGGGAGAGGGTAAAAGTATGTAGGCAACTCGTTTAGAGCATGCTTGTGTGTATATGTTTTTATCAACTTGTATGCTTATAGCTTTTTTTAACTGCTTATTCATCATGCAGATGTCTTTCCTTTGCACAAAATTTTTCACTTGTGGGATACATTACTGCTTGGAAATTCCTCCTTCCCATTCTGTATTGGAGTTGCAATACTTCAACAACTGAGAGATCGTCTTCTGGCTAATGGATTCAATGAATGCATTCTCCTTTTTTCAGACTTGCCAGGTACAGGAAAAAAACTTCCCTCTTTCTCTGTCTTCTCCAATGTGCTGCTAAAGAAAGTATGTGCTTGCATGTGAATATATACTATAAATCTTACATGTGTTTTGAAAGCATGGTAGAATTAGGGAAACTCACTATCAGTGTGTAGGTCTTAACCACAGCTTGATGAAGTTAGCAGAAGTCTTTTTGCTATCATCAGCAAGAACTGGGCAAGCTTGTTAATTTTTCCAGGTGGAGGTTGGAGTAGTTTCTTGTGAAATTTAGAACAACTTTAAATTATTCATAAGCAACTATATGTAGACATGCCATGTATAGAAACAATCCAGTTGATAGGGATTTCTTAGTGAAAGAAATTTGGTGCTATTCTGAACAGTGCTTTTCCACTTGGATGCTGGTACTATCTAGTTTTCAAAAATAATTTAACTTTTGCTGTGGAAGCACTTAATGTAAAAGAATTAAGGGAAGCAGTATAAAATGCATTGGAATTGCTCTGTGAAAATTGGTTTCCATTTGAAAGTTAAAGCTTTCAAAAGAACCCTCAAAATTGGATCAGAGGTTGTGCATGATTGTTTTGCAGAAGTTCTGTCTTCTCATTCATTGGGAGGTGGTTGACCTATCCATAGAAGCAAGTGTTGCATCTTGTTCTCTTTTTTTTTAAAAAAAAAAAAAAAAAAAAAATGCAGGTAACCACCAAGTTTGGGTCTTATTTCTGAGCAAGTTGCTACTGAGACAGTAGAATGCATATGAACTGAGTAAGCCCTCTTAACTGGAAGATGTGTTTCCATTTCTGATGGACTATTATTTACATAACATATGAATTGGAAGGCTACTGCACCCAGAATATATCTCTCTGCTTCTATTAATTCCCGCTCTTCAACCCAGGATCTTACTAACATAATATGGATCTTGGTTAAGAGGTGACACTGTTTTAATTGTGTGGCCTTTCTTAAGGTAACTTTAACTTTTGACTAATTCCTGAACTAGTTCTAGATTTAGTGGGCTCTGAACACCATGTGTGCAATTCAGTAATTCATTTCAAGTCATTCTTTCAGAAGAATTGAATGAGAGCGCCAAGTTTGGAAGAGCATTTAAGCTTAAAAGCTCTTGTTAAGTGTGGCAGTCTACACAACTGCAGAGTTTACAAAGGTTAGCTGGTTTAGGATATGGCAGCAAGCAGCCTGAGGGTAAATTCATAGTTGCGTAAATCCATTTCCGATAAGTTCATTGAGTTCTTACAGATGAAGCTTTTCTTTAAATATTATTGTCACAAATTCTGTCTCTTCCTGAATGCCCTTGAACATATGTCCATGTTTCAAGAAGTTGCTTTTCTGCTATCTTTCAGTTTAGTATGTACTGTGCAATTGCTGCTGTATTTTTCAATTTATAAGAAATTCATTTAGGCCATTCCTTATGGAGATGTGGTTTTGTTTGGGTTTTTTTGTTGTTGGTGGTGGTTTTTTTTATTTTTAGTCTATATGCTTAGCCATTTTGAATGCCCTTATTTAATTTAACTCACTATCTTTAAATCCTCTGAAAGGTTAGTGCTAAACTAAAAGATTGTCTCTCTTCCCCTTCCCGCCTCCCCCACCTATTATCTGTATGTCTTAGTTAAATATAGATTCATTAATATTTAACTTATTTTCTTGCCTAATGTAATTTCTTCCTTTTTTTTTCCTTGAGTGGTTCTAAATTATATATTCCAATTGATCTTGAATCAGCTGTTTTACTGACAGCTGAAGTACTTCATGCTGAGGTAGTTAGTGTCTAAGAACACCATAGTTCTCATGATACATACCTCTTTATCGAATAAAATTAAATCATTAAAATCTGGAGTATTACAATGCACATGATTCCTGCTGATTATAGTTTATGACAACTTTGCTGATACTCATGTAGGAAATGTTTTGGTAGAATGGTAGTTCTGAAAAGATTGTTGTGTTTTTTTTTTTTTTTTCAATGTTGGTGACGTCTGCAATATTTTGGATGTCAACAGTGGCACAATTTTGAATATTGTGAGATGAATCCGAAGCATATCATAAACTGACTACTAAGGGAAAAAAGAATGAGGATGGAAGATGATCCTAGTATGATGTAAAACTCAATGATCTAGCTGAGACTTCTGTAATCAGTAACTTCATTGAACGTATAATTATCATATCCTTGTATCTTCTTTCTGATCTGAGTCTTATTTCTGATTAAGTAGTATTGACTACTTCTGGTGTTTGTCACCTCTCTCTTCCAAACGGGACTTCTGTTATGTTGGTTAAAATAAATAGTGTACCAGCCCTGAGAATTTTCTGAAACTAATTTACAGACAACCTTCACCTGAAACTGGGTCACCCTGAGGAAGAGATTATGTTGTTCAAAACATCTGCAATAATTTCAGCCATAAATCAATTGTTGCTCAACAGCCTGAAACTCCCGTGGTTTTAAGCTTTCTGTGCATTGAAATGGCTTATCTCAGGCTGCCAGTGAAAGTGACTTGCTTTTCAGACTGATAAAGCTATTTTATTGCAATCTAGCAACTTTGTGGAACACTTGTTTTTACAATAATTATTTCTAAAAATGTATATTTAAAGTTGAAAAAAACCCAAACACCACCACCACTGCTGTATTTCCAGGTAGCTGCATATAACACAGTTTCAATTACTGTTTAAAAAAATTAATGATGTGAGGAAAAAGAAGGTGCACAGGGCTATTATTGATTACTCGATTCTGAAAACCCTTTCCAGTGTTTGCCTCAAAGCTTTGGCCATATTTTATCTAGAAACCCAATATAGTTGGGCATTACTTGATATTTTCAGGAGCTCTGTTGGAAATTCTAGTTTGTTTTATGTAGTTTTAGCAATATTCTAGCCTATTAGGAAATCTATTTGAAGTATGACAAAATAATTGTTTAATTAAGAATACTGGAAAATCCCTTTGCTATAGCAACAAATGTCCTAGTTCATTCCTCATGGGTCTGTATAAAGGGGACATATAAGCAACTGCTAAAACTTAAATAGAATCAGATTGTTTAGGAAATAACAACCCCAAGGTGGGTTTTTTTAATCTGTTTCATTTTTCTTTCTTTTTCTTTTCTCCCTTGTGTTTAAGGAACTCTGCTAAGTATAAACTTTATTTGAACAGTATAAATACCAGAGAAGATTTAAGAGGTACTATTTCAGACAGACAAACAAAGCCAATGCTGGAGTCACTGCTAATTCTTTATATGTAGTTTGAGACTTAGTAAATCTCATCCTATTTGGGTGATGCAGAGAGAGCAAGCACAGTATTCATTAACTTTGTTTCTTCTTCCTCTTGGTCTGACACGTAGCAGGAGAACGTGGCAGGAAAATGAGGATGGTAAGGGTGGCACTACTATGATGCTGTGATTCCTGAGGTACCAATAACAGAGGCAGGACTCTGCTTTCAGATGAGTACTGACTTGTACTAAGCAAGTTTGGATACGTCTGAATCTTATGTATCAGCCAATTTACAACCCAGAAGGCTCTTTCATGCGTTGCAGGCCAACTGTGCAAATAACTTTATTTTAAAACTTGTGATTCTGCTTATAGCTTAGTCTTTAGCATCTTGCCATAAGTTTGTGTGATAATGTACGTTATGCAAATAAAAAATGATGATTATTGTAGCTTGACTTGATCACTAAGTTCATTACCCACTGTACAAGTACTACGAAGTCACCAGCACGTTTTGTTGGGAAGCAAACCCAGGTAGTGGAGGCATCCAGATCTGTACAACTCTTTGCAACCAACTGAAGGATCCTGTACACCCATTCAGTTCCACTTGGAAATGGGTGCAATATAGGGCCTGGCAAACGGATCTTTGAGGTCCATGCCAACATCGTCACTGAGATACAGAGATTAACTGTGGCCTTGAGAAGGGATAAGACAGCTAACAAAAAGATGGGGACAGGTTCTATTACAGAATATTACAGACATGAGAAAACATACCTTCAAACAAGCCTTGTCAGTTAGTTCACCCACTAACCTCATTTTCTGTAGTTTTGGAGCAAGAGAATAGTTCGTTCTTTTAATGCTATGCACCTCTGGAGGCATCTTTTTGTTGGCTTCAGGCTAGTCAGTGCTTCCAAAGGAAGAACCTCTGGCTCAGATAGGAAGTCCGGAAAGACCGGCTGTGGAAAAGCAATCCAGTGCAATGAGAAGCTACAGTAAAACTGATGAATTGGAAAATATAGAGGATTCAACTTTGTGAGACACAGGCATGTAGCTTTAAGATGCAACATGTAGTCAAAGACCTAGCTATCATCAAACCACAAAAATGATTCTCCAAGGAACAGTTTTTCTCTAATGTGGGAGAAACAATGATATCTGTTGCCATTATAGTGACGTGCCAAAATGCTGAATCCCATGATGGTGAAAGCCATATAAATGCTTAGAAATATTACATCCATCTCAGAAATGAACTAAAGATTTAAAAACAGTGGAAAAACTACACTGAGATTGTATGTTACAGTTTTGAATGATGTGTTTGTGCTGACAGCAGCATTTAGATGCATATCAGAGAACTCTACTTTAGATACATATCCAACCCTAAGTAGCTATAATTTTACTTTCCATTCTTTTTCTTCCTGAAAATCCTTTGTCTGTCCACATCTGTGATTCATATACTTTTATTGTGCCAGACTTTCTGGTGGTTCAGCACTGAGTTAATTAAGACTTGGTGGGAGGAAGAAATGGCAGTTGGCTGCCAAGCCCACGCTGAGTTTGTGTGTGTGTTTTTCCTGTTCCCATTTGTTTCACCACTTCTTGAATAAAAATGTAAACTCTGAGATTAAAACACCAACTTTGAATAGACTGAAAGAAATACAGTGGGGTCTTCTGTGTGCTGGTGAACAACGGAAAAACTGCTTTTGATGAGGCTTTGAGGAATAGATGTTGTAATAGCTCTTTCAGAAGAAAACTTTTTTCATAACTTCAGCTATGAAATTTTGACACGTGGCTTTGTTGTAGCTTGCCCAAGTTCAAAACTGTTGTCCCCTG